GATATTAAACAAATTCAAAAAGAATTAAAAAAATGTTTCATTTGATGATCAAACACAAAACAATTCCAAGGTAGGAAATAGTTTAAAAAACACATCAGATGTAAAGATTCAGACAATAATTAATACTAAAAATAAATTACAAAATAGGTTTAAAGATGTATTATTAAAACCTAATGAAAAAGAGAGTGTTATTATAGAAAAAGATGATGAAGATGAAGATAATATTAAAAAAGAAAAAAAACAATATAAATCTACAGATGTAAATAAAAAAATTAATCTTAAAAAAGATTTACAGGATAGATTTAGAAATACAATTGTAAAACAAAAACATGTACTTGAAGAACAACAAAAAAAGTTTGGACCAATAATAAACGCATTAACAAATGTTAATACAACAATGAATGCAGTTAAAGATGTTGCTATTAAAACTGAAGGAGATATTCAAAAATTAAATATACAACCTAGAAATCCAGAATTAAAACGATTAACAAGTTCAGAAGAGACTTTTGGAACTCCAAAATATTCTAGTCAAAATTCAACAAGTAATTCTCCATTACCTAAAAATATTATAAACTTAGGTCCTATTGCATCAAAATATTTAAAAACTGTAAAAGATACTAATTCTTTTGGAATATATCTTAATGAGAAAGATGATATTTATATGATTGGAAAAGATATAATCGATCTTGATAATGATGATATAATTTTAAATGAAAAAAGATATATAGGAACACCAGGTTTATGGAGATTATTAACTCATCAAGTTCCTACACCCAAACAATTTTATAATGATGATGAATTTAATATTTATAAAAATATATTATTTGAAACTAATTCTATATATCAAAACAATGATCCTTCAACGAAAAGAGCTAAATCAAGTCGTAGTGAAAAATATAAGGTTATGATTAGTTCGATTTGGAAAGAAATGACAGAAACAACTGATAAGAAAAAAAATAATAAAAAGAAAGAAAATAATGAAGATAATGAAATTATTGAAAAAAAAAGAAAATAATGAAATATTAGCTGAAGATAATCAAATAGGGGAGGGTTTAAAGAAATACACAGAAAATCGTATTGAATATCGTTATATTAGTAATGTAAACCAAGTGATAGATAATTTACAGTTTATTTCTTCAGAAGAAAGAGCTGGAAATAATAATTTTAAAAACGAAAAACTTGGTATTGTTCATTTATTTAAATCAATTATGGAAAATCTTATTGATACTCCTGAAGGTATTGAATATTTACTAAAATATGTAACTTGTTTACCAAAGGAAGTGAAAATATCAAAAGAAAAAATAATTAAACGTATACAGTATATATCAATTGAAGAAAGTATAGGAAATAATATTTACCATGATGAAAAACTTGATATTCTTAATATTTGTATTAGAGAAATGGAAAAATTAATTGATATACCTATTAACGGTGCAGATTATTTATCATCATATGTTTCATGTTTACCAAAGAAAATTATTACAGGTTCAGGAATTGTTAATTATCTTTTGAATTGTTCAAATTTACCTCAAATGCATTGGCCTGGCTATAATTATTTAGGACCGGGAACAAAGTTAGAAAAAAATAAAAAACCTAAAAACAAATTAGATGAAGCTGCGAGAGAACATGATTATTTTTATAAAGATAATAAAGATACTAAAACAAGACATATTGCTGATAAAATTTTAGAACAAAAAGCAATGGAACGATTTTATGATCCTCATAGTTCTATAGGTGAAAAAACTGCAGCCATTTTTACAGCAAATGTAATGAATGTTAAAAGACGATTTGGAATGAATTTAATTTAATTTAATTTAATTTAATTTAATATTTTGTATTATAAAATGAATTTAAATTTAAATAAAAAACAATTTAATAAAATATTGAAAGCTCATAAAAATAATAAAGATGTATCAATTCTAATTGAAAATAATCAAATTGATAGTGGAAAACATAAATTTATTCTTGAGCCAGAACAAATAAGAAAATTAAAAAACGCTAAAAAAAATAATACCGGATCAAGTTTAGAACTTAAACATGTTCAAATTAAAAAAGGTGGATTTTTACCAATAGCTATTTCTGTGGTTGAAGGTGTAAGTGCTTTGGCTGCAGGTGCTAGTGCACTTTATACTGCAGTAACTGATGCTAAACACAAAAAAAAAATGGAACAAGAAACAATTCGACATAATAAAGAGATGGAAAAAATTAGATCACAAGGTTCTGGCTTGAAAAAAAAAAAAAAAATATTGAAAAAATAAGTTGCAAAAATGAATAAATTTGAAATAACAACATTTAGAAATAATATTGAAAAATTTGAAGGTATTTATACACGGTTTTGGATTAAAAAAAATAATATAAAAATTGATCCATTGAGTAATATAGATATAAATTATTTTGTAAATAAAATAAAAAATTATAGAGGGTGTTTTATGTTAAATGAATTACCTACAACACCATGGGAAAATGAATGTGGAGTATTTAATTTAAATGATTCTACTCAAAATGGTTCTCATTGGGTTGCATGGAAAAAAATAAACAATACATTTAAAATATATTTTGACCCATTTGGTCATATAGTTGGTGAGCCACCAAAAGAACTTTTAAAATATTTGGGTAAAGATAATCTTTTTTGTACTGTTTCCCAATTTCAATACTATAATGATCCACCTATATGTGGTCATTTATGTTTAGAATTTATTGAAAATTATAAAAAATTTATTTAAATATTTTATTTTTTTAATAGAAATATTTCTATTAAAAATAACAACTTGTTTAATATATATTTAACAACGAGTAAACGAGTCGTTGACGAGTTGTTAACGAGTCGTTGTTTTTTTACGTTAACTCGTTGACGTTGTTTTTTTACGTTAACATTGTTTTTTAACAACTCGTTGGTATAATAATTCGATGTTAAAAAAAAAAAATATATTTACTAATATAAATAATAGAAATGGAAAATATCAAAACACTTTTAAATATGATTGAACAACAATGTAAAATCCTAAGACCTATATTTAATGATAGTGATATTGATATTGTTATTGACTGTGAAATTAGTAATAAGTTATGGAATAAAATATTGGATAATTGTTGTTACGAAAATGTTGCAAAATATGTTTATTACAAAAAACATAATCAATTAAAATCATTTAACTTCCGTTTCATTAGTAATTGTTGTTTCGAAAATATTTTAAGTTTTATTAAAAACAAAAATTATAATGAAATTAAACTTTCACTTAACGAACTACGTAAATTAATACAAGAGGAATTACATGATTCGAATAATAATAATAATAATAATATGCAGCTAGAATGATTATTTTTTTAACATCCGGTATTGAATAGCTTATCTACTGACTACTATACAGCGTGAGTATATTATAGTATACAGTGTGATATAATTATACTAGCTCAATACTATTTAAATATTGTTAAATAACATATATTACATGTCTAAGCACTGTGGCGTGGTGGGTTAAGGCGTGTGTTTTGAGAGTGAACATTGTAGGTTCGAATCTGACTGCAGCAGATTTGTTTTTACTGTGTTTGCTCTCGTAGTAGAATTTAAAATTGGTGGGGTATCATAAAGCCGGTAATTGTGGCGCTTCGGACGATTGGTGATTTACATGCGATTGTAAGTTGTCACGTGGTGCGGCCTACGTTATCACCTTGATTTCTATCTATCTCAGTCTCCAAAGGCTGACGTATATGATATCCTCCTGACCTTTAGATGCTATAAATAAACCACGGCACCCACCACGCCACAATGCTTAGGTAAAAAAAAATATCTCTGTTGTACAGACAGCCAGTTAAAAAAAAAAAAAAAAAATAAAAAAAAGTGAGAGGTGGCCACCATTCTGGATGTCTGTACAGCACAGATATTTTGCAGATTTTATCTATTTTTTTTCGATTTAAATTATTATTACACGGTCATATAATTTGACCTTGTTAAATATTACAAGTCCTATATTTCATTTAATATTTGATATTATCAAGTCGGAACAACACAGATATGTTTTATATACTTATCTACACTACATATTAAAAGTTTACCCCCCGCTTCATATTTTTCATTTAAGTATAACTCCGTTGCTATTTATGTTAGAATCTTCATTTTTACATTAATCATTTTTGATTTTAATTCTTTATAAGTCCCCCTCATAGTATCATAGTGTAAAATCGTTTTTAAAGATTTTTGGATTTTAATAACGCGTCCCCTATTCGGGTGAGCGTTAAATATTGAACATTTTTTTAATAGAACAATTCTATTAAAAAATTTAATTATATTATTATATTATAAGCACCTTATGATCGGCATCTGTACCTCTCATGCTAAGACAACATATTATAATATTTCCTAAATCTTAAACAACACAAATATCATGGAGATATTTGTAAAAATAAGTACCGGTTGTATTTATTAAATCATTAGCTATTTTACAAATTTCAAGCCATGTTGGCGATTCTAATATTTTAGATGCATAAGGCTTTCCATTTCCATGATGATCGACAATTAAAATATTTCCTTCAATTGGAATTTTATGTAGATTATATTTCATAATTTTAATATTTTTTTTATTATTAGTATGTAAGTATTCATATTTACAAAACTTAACAAAGATTTCATTATTTAATTTTGAGTTTTCTATTTCGTTTTGCATTTCTTTTTCTTGTAATGTATTAAAATCTTTGATAGTTGTTTCCATTATTTTTATTATTTATTATATTTTTAATTTTTAAATTTATTTTTAATACATTTTGCAATTAAATATGTTATTTCGATTTTTATTTTTGATAGAACAATTCTATTAAAAAATGTTTTGGTGCATTTCAGATTTTTGAAAAATGTTTTAAGTAATTATTGCATTTAAATGTCACGTGTGCCGAAGTCCCCCATAGGAAAATATTTTTAGTATTTTTTGCATTTCAATTTCTATGAAAAAATATTTTAGGAAATATTGCATTTAAAATGAAAGTGTACCATAGTGACCCCTATACTACTACCGTAACCTTCGTACGCTTGTTACCGCGAACGTCAGTCCGTGAACGAACTTCGGAACGAGGTAATCTCTGGCGATGGCTAGTCGCATTTGGGCTTTCATCGGCTCCGAGGAGATCCGATTCAACGCCGTTACGTACGCCGCGCTGTCGAACACATCGACTCGACTACCCGTGAACGATACACCAAGATATCTCCATAGAGACGAAACGTCAAGTGTCGGCAAGACTACACCCCCAAGGGAGTATACCTCATCGACGGTCTTCACTTTCCGATCTCGTCCGGAGGGAACCATGGTGAGCGTTGCACACTTCGCTGGGTTCACCCTTAGACCAGCTACCTCTAACCGCTTCGTGAATGCTTCGCACGCCTGACGCAAACCTGCCGGCGTTTCCGCCATCAAAATCACGTCGTCCGCAAAAGCTATCGCATTCACTACGGTTCGACCCAGAGTGTGCCCAGAGTATGCCGTTGGGCCTCAGTACCGGGGCACTAACCTTGCGGCAGTGGGGCTCCCCGGTCCCGCTGTACGGGTTTCTGGTCGTGACAGATGTTAACTTGTCACGACCGCACCCCCGGTCGGTGATTGACTCAGGCAGCATGGGGTCGTCGGGCCCATCCCAGCCGAAACTGGGCCTTGTGCTGACGTAGGACGATGTAGTCCTACAGTGGTGCCGCTATGTGTCCATTGGTTGAACTGTGACGGATCCTATTCTTCGTATTGGGTACGCATTTGAACTGTTCTGGCTCTCTTCGCCCAGATTGGGCAACTTGATGAGATCGATCTATGCGGACCGCCGCACTGGGCACAGGTCGGGGGTTTGTCCTTATTCGGACAGTCGGCCTTATTATGTCCTGGTTGAGCGCAGTGGAAACACTTGCTGGCTTCTTTGCAGTGGCCCGTTGCGTGATTGACCCTTAAGCACTTACTGCAATGTGGCGGGTCGATGAATGTTGTTGGGAATGTGGACACCATTCCTATGCAGGTCCTTTTGCCAGCGATGGCCTTATGTATACTGGGTGACACTTCGATGACCCAGTCACCGATATCCGGGTCGCGCTTACCGCACCTGAAGAGCGGGTTGATGTCTTCTTTATTCATAGACTCAAGAGATGGATTCTGGTTTATCAATGCTTCCTGGATGAAGGGTACCTCGTACTCAAGAGGTATGCCTTTTAGTCTGATCCTTGGTTTCCTTGGTTCGACTTCTGTAACCGCGTCTTTCATAGATCTGAGTGCATTAATCTGAGTACATTCATCCGAACTGGCAACAAAGATTTGTCCTGATGCCATCTTTTTGCATGTATTGATCCTGGGTTTATTTGTGACTGACTTAACTGCGTCCCATATATTATCGACTGTAATGTCCTCGGTGCAGCCTATGAATACCGGTTTGACTGGCATATTTTTGGCTTTTTCGATTTTGTCTCTCTCTTTGATTGCCTGAGGTTTTTTCCTTGCTCTTGGTCTTTGCACAGCCGTCAATGCAGGGAAATTATCGGTAGCACGGACTGTTGCGTTTTGTACCTGTTCTGTACTCTGTACTATTTCTGTACCTGGACCGACAACCCCAGCATACGACCTGTCGGTGCGGGTTTTGGTTATTATTTCATCAAAGTGTTTGTATTGGTCCGCGACTTCAATCCTTTTCTCTTGGTATTTACCGGCTATAACTGCGGCTTCAATAGCGATATTCGTGCTGCTATTTTGGATCTTAGCAAGGAATTCTTCGATACTATCAGTCCACCTTACACCAATCTTAACTGAGGTGCGCATATCCTTCATAAAGTCCTTACAATCTCTTATGCAATCCTTTATTGCGTTCAACTCGGCAGCAATAAATGGGGGAATTTGGCCAGGAGAAGAGTCACCTGCTCTTCTCTTACGTGCATTAACTGGCGTCGAATACGGTGGCTAAGTGGAGCCCTTTTTTGGAGTTTGTCTTTTTGTTCCGGCATAGCCGTCGTTCTATAATCAGGTCTATGACCTTTGTCGAGGGTGTGGGGCTTCCACTTCGCTCGCCCTTGCATGGTGGAGATGGGTACGGCGGGGCTACTGGCGCCGATCCAACTAGCCTTGTGGGGTCCTAATCCCACTGGGCCGGTAACGATTTTCTTGTTTGTGGTTCCGTTCATTGTTGATTTATGGGTTTACTCCCTTGCGTTTTTCGCCTACCGCCAGGCTTTGTGGCGCCTACGACCGGAGATGCCAACCTCCGGAAGTCCGTGTTCGAAGGCCTCTTAGCGCTGGACAGCTTGTCCGGTCGGGCGGGGTCGCCAAGACAAGGCGGGCCTTCTTCGACCCCGTCTACATAGGGACAGTGAAATTTTCTCTCACGGCTCTCCGAGTGGCATTGCTCGCCGACCACTCGCGTTGACCGTCCACGGTGCACATTCACCTGCCGTAATAATAATAAATTATAATTTTTTTTTTTTTTCAATTTTATTGGGATTTTCGTGGATTCCGATAGTGTTCGAAGAGAGAAATTCAAGCACGAAGACCCGGAGGCGATCAAACGAATACTTCCCGTTCAATCCATCACTTCTCTACTAGTGTCCCATCCGACGATTTAAAAATGTCACCACTTGTATATATTCTAAAGTAAATCGAACTCGGGAGTTCCGCGTAGTGGTTCGGCAGTTGAAATAAAAAATTAAATCACCGTGCGTAGTGGCACTGCGATATGGACTTGAAAAAAAATCACAACTCCCGGCCAGACGGACCGCGGCCGAGCGACGGCCAGTCGGTTCGTCGGGCTCGTCGGCCCCGCGTGGTGTCCCGAAGAAAATACATTTCGCCGCGTAGTAGTTCGGCAGTTGAAATTAAAAAATTAAGACATCGCCGTGCGTAGTGGTACTTCGACTCGGACTTGGAAAAAAAAAGGCGTCCGCCGTGCAGACCGCCGGCCGGTCGACCGCGCCAGTGACTGCCTCCGGTGTCCGTCAGACGACGGACTTCCGAAAACAATCACCGGCGCGGCCGACCGACCGGCGGTCCGCGCGACGGACGCCTTTCGCGATACGCGGCGCCGGAACGCCACGCATCGACCATGCGCGCCCGACGCTCGGAACGCGACCGGTGGGCCGATCCGTCCACGCATCGGTCACTGGGGGTCCTGTCCAACCGACAAGACGAACCCCCGAGGCAAAGGGCAGTCTTAACAGATCGCAGCGTGGTAACTGCTCTGCCGAGTACAACACCCAGCCCGGTACTTAAGTCGTCTGCAGACGATTCCGAGAACCCACACCGTTTGCCGCGGGATCACCGCGATCACCGAAAGCCCGCGCGGCCGAGAATCCGGCTCGTCGTGGACCCGAGGGTCCGTGCTTTGACGCCTTCCCGATGTATACTGGGTTCTCCTCCGCTGTACGGACGATCGTTTTCCCGAGACTGGCCCGAAAGCCAGCCCGGCTGTTTTCTCCAGAGTGGATACGGCCTTAGAGGCGTTCAGGCGTAATCCAACGGATGGTAGCCTCGCACCAACGCCCGCTCGGGCGAGTGCCGAACCAAATGTCCGAACCTGCCGTTCCTCTCGTACTGGGCAGGATTACTATCGTAACGACTGCCGCCGTAAAGGCGGTTTCGATCGCGTGCGACCTTGCATCAGTAGGGTAAAACTAACATGTCTCACGACGGTCTAAACCCAGCTCACGTTCCCTTAAGCGGGTGAACAATCCGACGCTTGGCGAATTTTGCTTCGCAATGATAGGAAGAGCCGACATCGAAGGATCAAAAAGCGACGTTGCTATGAACGCTTGGCCGCCACAAGCCAGTTATCCCTGTGGTAACTTTTCTGACACCTCTCGCTGAAAACTCTTCAGCGGACGAGAGGATCGAGAGGCCGATGCTTTCGCAGTCCCTACGCGTACTGAGCGTCCGGGATCAAGCCAGCATTTGCCCTTTTGCTCTACGCGAGGTTTCCGTCCTCGCTGAGCTGGCCTTAGGACACCTGCGTTTTTTTTTTTGACAGATGTACCGCCCCAGTCAAACTCCCCACCTGGCGGTGTCCTCGGAATACGGATCGCACCAGGGACCGGGCCCGCGGATACGCCGCGAACGCGGACGGCGACTTTTGACGCCCGGATCCCTCGGCTGGTGCTTAACGCTACCGGAATATCAACCACGGCCCGGCACAAACGGGCACAGTCCGACGGAACGGCGACCAGGCCGCGCGCCGGCGAACCGACGGCAGACCGACGACGCGACGGGACGACGACCGAAGGACGAACGCACCCGCGTCCGGACCGCGCGTTCCGCTCTACCGAGTAAGTGGGGAAACGATGCGAGTAGTGGTATTTCAAGGTCGGCCCGGAGACGGACGGCCGAAACCGCCCGCCTTGGTCCGGGTCTACCACTTATGCTACACCTCGGCATGTCTCCGAACAATGCCAGATTAGAGTCAAGCTCAACAGGTTGAGCCAACTTGCGTAAATCTGCATCTCACCCAGGACAATTGGCTAACTGACGGGCCATCAATCCCCTCGTATTTTTGCGTCAGTGTGAGTGTCCTCGTGAGTGACCACGGTATTGACCCAATATTTTAACGAGGACATTTTATTCTTTTTTTTTTTTTATGTCGGTGTCCTATTCACGAGGACACCACTTTGGGGGCAATATTTTCCAAATGCTTGAAAATCAAAACCAAGACCGGGCCAAGACCGGGTGGTCATCCGCGGTCTGGACTTAGAAAATTTTTCAGAAAAATCGATGTCATACTCACGAGTACAAATTCTGGGAATTCGCAGGATTGAAGTCGGGCTTCATTTTTTTTTCGAACGCCGAAACGGCCTACGGGGAGACGTTCCGCGATCAAGGGAGAGTCGCCGGGTAGCTGGGAGTCGTCACCGCGGTCCGTGATATTTTTTCTCGACAATCGATAACCGGATATCTGAAGACGGATTCCGGCGGACGAGGACCACCCGACGTCAACCCCGGAGACGGCGCCTGCATAGAATTCGTTTAAAAGCTTCAATCCCGAAATTCCCCGACCGTGTCCCCGTGAGATTTTCGATATTTTTCGGAAGTCAACTTTGCGAGCTTTCAACCGACGGCTTTGAAACTTTCAAACCTGATAGATAATTGAAAAAAAATCGTGAATGAACAGAGGTGGAATAGAGCTAGGACGAATATTAAACGAGATATAGTGGTAGGAAATAGTTGAAAGTGAATTCGACTTCGGACGTGAGTACAAGGGAGTCGGTCCGCAAACCACCCGGACACTTCAGATTTCACCGTGCACCATTCCATCCTCCTTTTCCCCAAGATATTGTCACCGTCAGTCTGTCATTCCCGAGATTGTACCCTACGATCCGAAGTTCCCGGACGGCGTGCCCCGGGAGTCGGTCATTCCCGAGATTGAACGCAACCACCAGTTTATTTTCGTAATCATTTTCCCTCCCGTGTCCCCGTCAATCGGCCATTCCCGAGGTTGAACGCAACCACATGTTGATTCACTAAATACTTATCGCTCTTAATGCTGTGATATTTTACACGATAATTTCCGACGGGTGTCACAGAATCGATGACCGACTGTCGGGGACAAATCCAGGGAATTTACAGGTTGAAGGGGGATATTAATTTTTTCTCCATTCGGTCCCCGGGGTTGACTTTCCCTGGACCCGTACTGTCGGAATACAGCTTTTCAAAACTACAATTTGGCACCGGATACACGCGTACATCGACTATGTCGGTGCGTAGCGGTACGTCGTCCTACGGGGAGACGACCCGCCGTCAAGGGAGAGTTGCCGGGTAGACGTCGGCGCCGCCCGCGTAAAAAAAAATCGTGCGTAGTAGTACGGTCTTCTACGAGAAGACGACCCGCCGTCAAGGAAGAGTCGCCGGATAGCTGGGAATCGCGACCGTGTAAAAAAAATTCGTGCGTAGTGGTACGGCGAAACGGACTTTAAAAAAATAAATCGAGAGAGCGGCAAAATGTTGAAATCCAACACTTGACAAATGAACAACGGTAGATATATAATGATTTAGGAAGATGAGGATCGGTTCACCATTTGAAACCTGTTGAATATTACGATCCGACAGTCGCCTGAATCCCTGTAGCGCAAAGGGCCAGACAAGGACACCTATGAGGATCGGTTCACCATTTGAAATCTGTTGAGTATTACGATCCGACACTCGCCTGAATCCTTGTAACCAAAGGGCCAGACAAGGACTCCAATGAGGACGGTTGGACGCCAAAGACATGCCGCCTCTCATAAATACAAATATTCGAGTTTCACAATATGCGACTATCGTATGCACGCGTAGTGGTACGGTGTCCTCCGGGGAGACGACCCGCCGTCAAGGGAGAGTTGCCGGGTAGCTGGGAGTCGTCACCGCGGTCCGTGATATTTCTCAACAATCGATAACCGGATATCTCAAAACTGAATCCGGCCGACGAGGACCACCCGAAGTCAACCCCGTCGACGGCGACCATTAAAGACCGATTCAAAACGTTCAATCCCGAAATTCTCGAACCGTGGCCCCGTGAGATTTTCGATATTTTTCGGAAGTCAACTTTGCGAGTTTTCATCCGACGGCTTTGAAACTTTCAAACCTGATAGATAATTGAAAAAAAATCGTGAATGAACAGAGGTGGAATAGAGCTAGGACGAATATTACACGAGATATAGTGGTAGGAAATAGTTGAAAGTGAATTCGACTTCGGACGTGAGTACCGGGGACTCGGTCCGCAAACCTTCCGGACACTTCGGATTTCACCGTGCATCGTTCCATCCTCCTTTTCCCCAAGATATTGTCACCGTCAGTCGGTCATTCCCGATGTTGAACCCCACGATCCGAGGTTCCCGAACGACGTCCCCCGAGAATCGGTCATTCCCTAGATTGTACGCAACCACCAGTTGATTTTCGTAATCATTTTCCCTCCCGTGTCCCCGTAAATCGGACATTCCCGAGGTTGAACTCAACCACATGTTGATTCACTAAATTCTTATCGCTCTTAATCCTGTGATATTTTACACTATGATATCCGACGGGAGTCACAGAATCGATGACCGACTGTCGGGGACAAATCCAGGGAATTTACAGGTTGAAGGGGGATATTAATTTTTTCTCGATTCGGTCCCCGGGGTTGACTTTCTCCGAACTCCTACTGTCGGAATACAGCTTTTCAAAACAACATTTTGGCACCGGCTACACGCGTACATCGACTATGTCGGTGCGTAGCGGTACGTCGTCCTACGGGGAGACGAACCGCGGTCAAGGGACAGTCGCCGGGTAGCTGGGAGTCGTCACCGCGGTCCGTGATATTTTTTCTCAACAATCGATATCCGGATATCTGAAGACGGATTCCGGCGGACGAGGACCACCCGACGTCAACCCCGGATTATCGATGTTTATCGGTAGTCAACTTTTCGACCTTTCGACCGACGGCTTTGAAACTATCAAATCTGATTAAAAACGAAAATAAAACGTAAACGGACTGAGTTCGGAAACGGCTAGGACGAATATTAAACGAGATATCTAGGTTGAAAAAAGTTCGGAAACGATCAATCTTCGGACCGCATGGGGCGATCGATAACCGGCAAGGGAGGTATTTAGTTTTTCTCCACGCCGTCTCTGGGCGAAGATTGTTTTCGGAAGTTCTTAAAAGAACACCGGAGGACGCCTTTTCTTGTCGATACTGCGCTGCCATACCACAACTTTTTCGGCTCCGCATTTCAAACCAACATATTGTTTAAGTGTCAGCCGCAATAGTAGCTGAATTTCCACACTACCCAAGGGGTATCAGCTATAGCGCGTTTTTTTTTAAGTGGTTTCCCCATTAGGCCTGTCCACTGTTTTTTATTGTGGTTGTCTCCACTGACGTCCCAACGTCATCATGTTTTTTAATGTGGTTGTCTCCACTGAAGTTCCCACGTCGTTTTTCTTTATTGTGCTGGAGGACTACGGCTCAGCTTTTTTTCGACTTTCGTCAAAAACTCTTTAGAGTTCATCCTCAAAAAAAAGCTCAGCCCTTCTGACTTCAACACTTTCGTCACGTCTCGCATGGATTTGCCTTTAAGCAGACCGACGGTCACGTCAACACGTTCATCCATCATATATTCGGTGAACCAAAGTTGATACCGAATGATAATTTGGTCAGATACGCTGGCCAACGGGTTGCTTCGGGCCTCTGTTTTTTCCAGGTTCTTCCTGACCGTGTCCCCGTTGCTCACGTCAATGTATGGTGACGGATTAAATACTTCCGGAAATCTGAAACAAAAAAATTATTTGTTAGTTATTTTGTGTGTCTTCAGTAAAAACTTTTTGGTTCCTTACTCGTCCTCGACCAGACTCTCGAACACGGCTGTCGCGTCAACCGTGTCTATGGTCGTTTGCCGCCTCAGTGCCTCGTTCGAATCTGGCAGCTGGTAATACCTCAACGCTGTGCTTTCCGAGTGTTGCAGGGCCGTCGCTATGCCACTCATAGTCTCTTTGCCGAGGGCCCTGGATTGCGTTTCAACCATTCGTCGGAAGATGTTGGCCGACAGTTGGCATTTGTAGATCCTGTTTATCTCTTCATACAATTTGGTGAGTCTTTTCCCGCGGCTTGTGATGTCTTCATCATGCTCTTTCACCGACGTCCTCACCCGCGTGCGCAGCTTATAGTATCTTTAAAAAAAATTCAATGGTTAGTTGTTGAGTTTATGGAGTGATAGATTTTTGTAAATATTTACCTCTCCAGGTGGGCCGCCGTATCGTCCTGGTCAAAGACCATCATGGCCGGCTCCTTGTCCCCGGTCTTGTGTTTCGACACCGTAATTATAATTTTAGACCCTTCCTTTTTACGGTTTTCGAATTCGGCTACCGTGCAGTTCGTGACGACACCAGACCGGTGTTTTGAAATCCATAGGCACGTAAGAGCCAAGCCGCAAGAGACGCTTCTCCACAATGTGCTCAGCTGTGAAATTGAATGATGAAATTACATTTTATGTCGAGTCCAAATTTATAGCTTACTTACGTGTTTCTGTATCGGCGCAGAGTCCCTGTACGTCGATACGTCTACCGGACCTTCCTCCCCGACATGTTCCTCTAGCTGTGTCAATGTTTTCGGTATGCTTTCGGAGATACGCTTTATTATTTGGTAGACCTCGAGGTACTCCGGGACCGTCCTGGCTTCCTCCGTTTTTCTGTTGAAAAGCTCTTGCGGCTGGTTCTTAATCTTGTTTTTGTAAATGAGTTTAAGCTTTTGTTTAACGACTTTTATGGCGTTGATCCGGGAAGGGCATGGAGTCGAATCGAATGATTGCGGGAACGAGGGGTCTTCGAGGCAATAGCACGACAGGGCCAGCTCGTACAACGCGTTCAGGTTTTTGAGGTAGTTGATTGACGTAGCAATTGTTTGCCCGAGTTCTTCTCTCCTGTAAATATAAAAAAATTTATAAATATAAGATTGTAATTGATTCGATGGAATCTGAACTCACTTGCTGAGGTATTCGCGGAAGGGCTCTTCGCTGGTGCCCAACAACTGCGACCAGTGCTTGGCCGGCGTTTTCCGGTCCTTCAACCACGCGTCGACGAAGTACAACATTTTTGCCACATTCGCGGTATAGTTTTTCGCCGCAGACGACTCGTCCCCGTGGCTCAGGCTCAGCGATCGCCGATACAACTTTAATAGCGGATGGTCGGTAGGAAGCTGCTCTTGGTAGCCGCTTTCCTGAAGTGTCTTCCTAAACTTCTGACTAGAACTAAAGCACGACGATTAATAAAACTAAATCAGGCAGGGTTTATTTTTATTTGAAAAAATACTCACGGAGACACGGGAATGTCGTCCGAAACATCTGGAATACCGGTTCTTCTCTTGAGATGGTCCATTCTTGGAGTGACGGTCGGCTGGTGCAAGATTTAACCATTGCGCAAACGGACTCGGTACAACGTGGGGGGACTCGGGGAGGTCCCACGACCCTCCATATACTTGAAGCCTGCCCATTATGGCGATTCTAAAATTTCAAACAAAAAGATATCAACGACATACAAACATGACATGTTGTATATTTGTATAGTTACCTGAAGGCTATCCGTCTTAACGGCACATCGTCCCAATGGGCCGATGACTGTCTTCATGGCGACCATTGGAACCAACGAAATGGATCGTCGGGAATGTGATCCGTAGATCCGTCCAATGGCCGCTAGGCTTTTTGTAACCGGGGTTCGCAACAAGGACGCGTGTTTCAACGCGATGTGCCTAGTCATCTTGTTGTCTTGGGTCTTATATTTGCATATTGGACAGTACTTTAGAAGCTAATGGAAACGAATATTTGTTAATTAAGGTTCTTTTAATTGGATTATTTTCTTGTGTACAAATTACTTACGCGATTAGTAATCAGAGAGTCGACACGGTGATCGAAGTTCGAATCAATTTTAACTGGACGATCTTCTGAGTTCCAATCATCTACGTTTAATGGGCTGGGTGCTAGGGGAATTTAAAATTATAATTAAACGAGATGCGTCTTACACGAGGTCTTAAGAATACTCACTGTCGACGATCGACGTTTCATTATCAGAGGCAACCATCAGAGCTGAAACGAGAAGCAGACAAACAGTGATGGAATTTTAACTATAAAATTAAAAATACCTTCTCCGGAATCGCATTGAACGCTTTTAAAAGTTATCAGCGGGGACTGTCTGGTATTTCGAAGTTCGGCCGGCGGATATCCACATGAACCTGAGGGGCCCGCTTTTGGGGACTCCGGGGACTCACGGTCGACGTCGGCGATTGGTTTTTTTGGCTTATATTCTCCAATTTCCGATACTGCAAAATTGTTGCAAATGTGTTAAAAATTATTCTGTTGAAATATTTGAAAACTTACGTTCTTCCTCGAAGAAATCGTATGGATGTGATGGCGTTGTTGATGGTGATGGGGTGTAAATATTAAGCCTATTTAGATCAGCGATTTCAAAACCTGGGGAAAATAAAGTATGTTTCAAATTAATAAGACATTATTTTAACTGGGATAGTAAAACTTACCATCATCGTCAGTAAATGGAGAGTCAATTGCTGGAACCACTGAGCCATCCTCACTAAAACGGACGTGGCTGTTTCTCTTCACGACAACCACTCGGTCTCCCTGGATTTCCTCGTGCGCAGGGTCTTCAGTTAAATCTAACCGCTTCATAACATCTGTAGAATATTTGAAAATTCTTAAGGTTTAATAAAGTTATGTACATTAATCAGCAAAAAAAAAAATGAAATCAGAAAACTATTTTACATTTAACTGGCTTCGGGTAGTACGCCATACGGCTGTGTACTTCAAACACTTTTTTCACTTCCTCGATTTTATCCCCTTTAAACTTTACGATACCTAAGTAGATGAAGATCACAATGAAAATTGAAATAATATATATTTATGACTTTTATATAGAATTGACTTTACGTTTTATGGCCGTCTTCGGTCGTTGAGGCGCTTGCTCTTCAACGGCGGGCGCTTGCTGAGTAATAGCGTGCGCTTGCTCCTCAACGGCAGGCGCTTGCTGAGTAATAGCGGGCGCTTGCTCCTCAACAGCGGGCGCTTGCTCCTCAACAGCGGGCGCTTGCTGAGTAATAGCAGGCGCTTTTGACATTTTCTTAAATGCAACACTTAATGTCGTTTTTGGGACCTTCTTGATGCGGCTTGCCAAATTTATTGGCATCCCTTGTTGCACAAGCAAGATGGCCTCCTTTAGAGCAATATTCTCACTTGTTTTATTGTAAGACCGTTTTGCCTACATGAATTGAAAAAAAATAATATTCGCAAGGCATTCAAACTTAATGAAAATATAAATTTATAAGCCTACAGTTTTTACACATATGTTTCGTTTCTTGGCATACTCCCGGAGTGTTGTCTCCGGGACCATATAGTGACGGGCAGCCTGGCTAATGGACATCGTCCCGAACTTCAGCTCATTTAAAGCATTCTCCATCACGCTGATTAAAAAAAAAAAAAAACCTTTGTACAAAACCTGTAAAAAAAGATCTCAAACTACTTAAAATAAAGGAGCAGTAATAAATGTCAGTCATGTCTAAACCTGTGAAAATAAATTGACACATTCATACCGACACCTAGCGCTGCGATCGACGACGGCGGTTCTGGTAGCAAAATTCTCGAATATCGATAGAGACCTCCAAACGTTTGGAAAATATAATTTAAAAAAAAAATAATAATTTGGCACCGGCTACACGCGCCCGCGAGCGCTTAAGAAAAAAAATCGTTTGTCTGTAAAGTCGGTTTACTGACGATATTTGAACGTGATAACGTGTTAAGAAAATACTGAAGGAATGGTAGCATTTTTCAAAAGTAAATTTTAATTTCATTTGCTTAATAGATTTGTATGTATTTAGAGAAGGAGGTAAATGGAAATCACAATGGCACCACCGATACGAAACGTTACGAAAAATTGGTCCGGGGTCTCTATGTTGAGTACCGGCTTCGTCAAAAAATTCGTGAATGTGCCCTCTGGTGGCCGATGGAAAAACTTTTTCGAAATTCGTTCGCGACACTAGCGCTACAACGACGACGGCGGTTCGGGTAGCAACATTTTCGAATGTTGATAGAGAACTCCAAACGTTTGGAAAAAATAATTTAAAAAAAATATAATAAATTGGCACCGGATACACGCGCCCGCGAGCGCTTATGAAGAAAAAAATCGTGAATGTGCCCTCTGGTGGCCGATGGAAAAACTTTTTCGAAATTCGTTCGCGACACTAGCGCTACAACGACGACGGCGGTTCGGGTAGCAACATTTTCGAATGTTGATAGAGAACTCCAAACGTTTGGAAAATATAATTTTAAAAAAATATAATAAATTGGCACCGGATACACGCGCCCGCGAACGCTTAAGAAAAAAAAAATTCGTGAAATTAAGAAATTTGAGAAATATAAAATGGAATGGCCCTTCGGTGGCACAAGACCCAGCCGCGTGAACCCATCAGGTCACTTGCCTCGTGGTCTACACTAATCGCATTGATTTAATCCACGCTATCACGGATACCCCGTTCAGAGTAATCCGCTACATGCGAGCGATCAGCGTTGAAAGGAAAAAAAACTATTCAATTATAGTTTAAGAGACAGTTAAATTTACTTGAAATATTTTTGAATACAAAAGTAATGAAAACTTAACCTAACTAATAAAAGCAGTAAAAAAATTGCAATCACGCTGAGTGAAGACTTCCGACCGAAACAAGCCAACTTTCGTCACAGAATTCATCCACGCGATCACAGATACCTCATTATTCACTGTCGGTAGTTACTAAAGTTATTTTTTTTTTTTACTATCGGAAAACTCGACGAACAGTCTGACAAACGGTACAATGCCGGAATTACTCCAACTATTGCCCCATGGAATGCGACGAGTGAGACGGCCGATGCAATGCCGGAATACTCCAACTATTACACCATTGGGCGCCTCACAGACAGTTCGCCGAGTTCGCCCAAACAATTTTAAAATAAAAATGTCGACAATATAATGAGATATCCACTACATGCGAACGACGTACTCGTTGGAGTCCTTCAGTCGGCACTAGGGATGCGCAAACAACATCGATAATATCGTTTCATCGATATTACTGTCTGATATTATCGAAAATATCGCATCGATATTTTTGTACCGATATATCGATATAATATCGATGCATATATGTAATATCGATATATCCATCTATTTTTTTCCAAGTTATTTCTCAGACATGCCTTGATACAGGCTTTAATGGATTATAATTATCTCTGTTGTCGCCGTTGTCGGTCACCGGGACAGTGCATCCGTATATATGTATTTGCGAGTTGCGAGTGTTGCGACTCGCTGTGAATATTATTATCATTACCTGGAAGTCTTGCACTCGGGCACTCGACGATAATTTTTCAATAAAATTCCTAGAATGCACCGCAGTCCACAGTAAACACCGACATGTCGATATTTATCGATAGTCGTAAGCACTCGTAAAGTCGTAAAGTCGTAATTCTGAATAGACTACCTATGAAGTATAGGTATTGGTATTAAATATTATTAGCTCTGTAGCTCTGTCGACCTGTCGTCTGTCGTTAAAAACTCAAGAGTCAGTTATTAGTTTATTACTTACTACTTAGCATTGAACATATTTGCATATAGTTCTAAATATATCAAATCTAAATCTACTTGGTGTTTACCAGTTGATAGACTGTCAGTAACGATTAATTGTTTAACGCTACGATTTAAAATATTAATTGATTTTTGGAAAACAAATTTTAAAAATGAGTTTAAATATTACTGATGTTAATGAAATTTCAAAGTGGAGTTCTTCACGTATTCTACAATATTTCACTAAAGTCAGTCAATATTTGTATAAGTGTAATATCTGTACAAAAGTTTATAAAACACCCAATGGTGGTGTTCAAAATTTAAGAAGCCATTTAATAACCGAGGGTAAAAAAGGAAGAGATAAAAAAAGAAAATCGCAATCTACATTGGAAAATATTAATAAAAAACAAACATTGGGTAAAAAAAATGGTAAGTATAACAATTAAGTAAAAATTAAAGTTAAATATCAAGTCCAAGTGCAATAAAAATTAATTTAAAATAAAATTGTTATGAGGATATGACGTGGTTTATATTCTTAAATAATATTTACAAAGTATTATTAAATATATAAATAATTATTTGAAAAATTTTAATAGTTTTAATTTTAATAGTAGGTATTGAAAAATAAAATATAATATACTGAATAATAATAAAAATGTATTGCCTGGAGTATTATATTTTGCAGCACAAATTTTAATATTTAATACGACAGATTTCGATTCTTTAAATCAACACTTATATTTTATTACCTAGTATTGAAATATTGTATAATTTTATAGTAGCTC